CAAAGCATATAAAGTACTCAACAAAAGAACAAATCGAGTGGAAGAAAGCATGCATGTTATTTTTTGATGGAGGCATAATAGAATAATTGAATAATCTTGTTGAATATCCTCCAAACCATTGGAAGATTTACAATCAGATGAGGATAATACCACAAATAAGTCAAATCCTCAAGAAATTAAAAATACACCAACATAGACAGAAAGAGAAACATCAGATACTCCAACATCTGAATCAACTCAAAATCCTCAGATTCATGGCTGGAAACATCAAAGTTCTCATCCCATTCAAAACATCCTCACACCATTGGAATCAGGGATTCATACCAGATCTAGAGTACGAAATATGTGTGCCTTCTCAGCTTATCTATCTCAAATTGTTCCCACAAATATTGAAGAAGCCTTAGGAGATCCAGACTGGATTATTGCTATGCAAGAAGAATTGAGACAGTTTGAAAGAAGCAAAGTCTGGAACCTTGTTCCAGACCACATGATCAAACAGTCATAGGTACTCGATGGGTTTTCAGAAACAAATTAGATGACCAAGGTCAGATCACTAGGAACAAAGTTCGACTAGTGGTTCAAGGTTACAATCAAGAAGAAGGAATCGACTATGATGAAACCTTTGAACCAGTGGAAAGAATGGAATCTATAAGAATGTTAATTTCTTTTGCAACCCACATGGAATTTAAACTCTATCAGATGAATGTAAAAAGTGCATTTTTGAATCATTTTCTACAAGAAGAAGTGTTTGTGAAACAACCCCCTGGTTTTGAGGACCCAGACAAACCTGAACATGTCTACAAGTTAGAGAAAGCATTGTACGGACTAAAGCAAGCTCCAAGAGCATGGTATGATCGTCTATCCACATTCCTTCTAACACATGGTTACTCCCGTGGAAAAATAGACAATACTCTCGTTCTTAAAAAACAAGGTTCAAATATGCTCATTGTACAAATTTATGTCGACGACATCATATGTGGTGGAACTGACCCCTCACTTGGAATTGAGTTCGCAAAACTCATGAGTAGTGAATTTGAGATGAGTATGATGGGAGAACTAACTTTCTTCTTAGGTCTTCAAATTGATCAATCTCCTACAGGAACATTCATTCATCAACAGAAGTATGGTCATGAACTACTGAAAAAATTTGACATGAATGAAGCAAAGATAATTGACACTCCCCACTACAACAAAGTTAGACAAAGATGAAGCAGGTTATCCAGTCAATGATACAAAATACAGAGGTATGATTGGATCACTCTTGTACCTAATTGAAAGCAGACCCGACATTATGTTTAGTGTTGGACTTTGTGCACGATTTCAGTCATGTCCTAAAGAATCTCATCTAAAAGTAGTAAAGAGAATACTTAGGTATCTCAAAGGTTCTGTGAACCTGGTGCTATGGTACCCATCAGGAGACTCATTTTATTTAATAGGATTTGCTGATGCTGACTATGTCGGATACTTAGTTGACCGAAAAAGTACATCTGGAATGGCTAACTTTCTAGGACCATGTCTTGTCTCATGGACCACTAGAAAACAAAATTCAGTTGCCCTTTCTACAACAGAGGCAGAATATATAGCAGTTGCATCTTGTTGTGCACAATTATTATGGATAAAGCAACAGTTAGAAGACTTTGGGATCAAGACAGGCTACATTCCTATTATGTGTGATAACAATAGTGCTATTTATATGGCAAAGAACCCAGTCCAATACAAACGCACTAAACATATTGACATTCAACATCACTTTCTGAGAGACAATGTTGAAAAAGGATTTATCATAATGACATTTTTCGCTACTGAGGATCAAATTGCTGACATTTTTACTAAGGCTCTTGGGCGAGAACCATTCCTTAAAAATCGTCTATCTCTGGGATTTGTGTTTCAAAACTAAAAGAACCAGGTTTTACTCACCACCGACTCAGGTTATTATATTTTTAACCTGGTTCTCCTATTTAACTTTTTGTTTGGGCGGGAAATACTTAGAGTCACATTAAAACTCCAACGTCTCTTCGATGTGACTGTCGCCGTTTAAAATTCCTTTCAAGGCTGTTCAAAGTACCGATTCATCATTATTACCCTTCTATTCCCCAAAAACCTTTTATCTTCCACACACACATAAAAAATGTCTTCCTCTCTCCTTCTCATCGACTACTCCGATGATGAACCTACCTTCACATCAGAAACTCTGGCAACAACTCAGGGGGAACCCAGTCCACCAACATCACCAATAGCCGACCCCCCCCCCCAGTTTCTTCCCCACCACCTCCTTCCTCCATTCTCCCAGAAAACCCCCATACCTCTAACCCTATTTCATCTCCTCCAGAAACTATGCCCTCTTCTAGCTCTCCTCAAATACATACAATACCTTCGTCTACACCAGTTCCCCGATGTCCTTGCAAGCATATTGTTGTCAAACGAAAGACGATTCGTACTCCTCGCACTCGACAAGAAAGTCAATCCCATCTAGAGATGTTGGAAGAATCTACCAGCAAACGTCGTCGTACTGGTAAGTCACCTGCTTGCTCCTCTTCCACCCTTGTTATTTCTGAGTCTGATGAAGACATTCTAGAATCTGCTTGTTCTTCACAACCTCCCTCTTCTAAAATCCTAACCAAAAATGAAATTAAATTTCTTGCCATAGGAAGGGAGGCTTATTTTAAATCACAGAAAATCTTGAGAGGGCAAACAATTCATCCAAAAATAAGGGATCATACTGCAATCAAAAAATTGTTGGCACTACTAGCAGTACTGGGATGGGTAGATATTTTTCTTCACTCTGATAACATGATATTTGACATAGAAGTGGCTGAGTTTTATGAAAATTTGACAATGATTGATGATTCAGTACTTTCTTCGTCTGTTCATGGTATAGATATAGTTTTTGACAAAACTAGATTACGGGCAATACTTCCTATTCCTTGCATAAGGTTGGAAGAATATCACTAGGGAACAGATGAAAATTGCACATTAACTTCAAATTTTACACAAGGGAGGGTCAGTGATCGACCGCGAAAAGTACTGAAAGGAGAAATGTCTCCTTTTCACAGATTAGTGTTTGAAGTAGTTCACAAAGGCATTATTCCAAGAGGAGAAAGGAGACATGAAGCTAACTTTCGATATATGGGTCTTGGTCATGCTTTGGATACCATGCGTCCTATTAATTGGCCTTCCCTTATAATTAAACATATAGTCAGAATAGTGGATCCTAAGAAACCTGATCAATTAGCTTATGGGAACTTGTTGACTACTATGTTTAAAGAATTTGGGGTACCTTTGAAGGATGGACGGTCTTTGAGTAAATATGAGATGTTTACTCAAACTACTCTTGCTGAATGTAATCTTTTGGATGATGCTGCTGATCAAGTTCCTATACATTTTGCTAGTCCAGTCACTACTCTTATTTTTGAGCTTAATGAGGCTCGAGCTCAAAATGTGTTACTCAAAGATGAAGTTACTATTCTTCAGGCTCAGTTGGCTTCTTCTCAGGGGGAAGTTGGGAGATTAAAAGATCAACTTATTCAACAGGAAATTGATAATAATGTTCGTGTGGATCATATACTTCATGCTTTTTCTAGGCCTTAGTTAAAGACTTTTCTGTTCTATATTCAGAAAATATTAATGGCTCTTGGTTGTATTGTTGTTATAGTTTTTGTGGATATCTTATGGTAGTATCCTTCTATTTTAATTATGTGGATATGTTTTTGCTCTATAATGGGCTTTTTGATATGTCAAAGGGGGGAAACAGTTTCTAAAATATGGTGTTATTATGGGTATTATTTGTCATCATCAAAAAAAGGGGAATTTGATGGAAGTTGTGTAATAACTTTTGATAATGACAAATAATGTTGATGTCATCAATTATGAACCAAGTTCATTTATAAATGAACCAGGTTCATTGATAATGACAAATACTTTTGATATTGACTCACTTATGAACCAAACTCATTTATTAAAGTAGTTGCCGTTCTAATTGAAAAGAGACGAAGGAAAAATATTAAGGAACAAATGTATTTATGAAAAAAATGAATATAATAATTATTTCCATAAATAAATAAGACGAAACCTTTTCTGAAAAAGTTGCCTATTTTATATGAAGACAAAACCTTTTCAGAAAAGGTTGCGTATAAACTAGAAAAAAGAAAGCAATTCTTTTTCATATCAAAGACGGATACAGAAATCATAATTATTATCAACTTCAAAGAGAGGAAATATTTTTATTCTAAAGTCTATATAAACAGAGATTTCAAGACAAAGAGAGCAGTTCTTTACAATCGAAGAAAGGGTGAGGCGAGACGAAGAGAGAGGCAGCAAAGAGCATTTTTGTGAGTTCTGTGTATTTTGTTAACTTGTGAGCTTTGTTCTTAGTAAGATCGTAAGCTTGTGTGATTGTAAACAAGAAGTGGATTTGGCTTCTTGTGGAGAGAGGAGGTTAGTGAATAAGTTTGCAAGAAGTGGTTTGGCTTTTTGTAAATTTAGAGAATTCGATTAGAGTTAATCGAAAATTGTAATTGAGTAAGAAAAAGTAATAAAACAAAATTGAGTTTTTCCTTCCTTGAGGTAGGAAGGTTTTAGTTAAAGTATATTGTTTTAATTAACTCTTTTCTTAGGCAAAAAATCAAGAACCTGATTCTTTATTAAGGGGTAAGGTCTCTTCATAATGTACCTTACATACTATGACATATCTTGTGAGTTACCTCTTATGCATTTCAGTCAGAATGATCTAGATGAATCTATATACTTATATAAACTTCAATAACAAGAATTTGTATTTAATTGAAATAACTTTCTCCAAACATTCAAATAGAATCTAAATGACAAAACAATTACAAACCTAAGTAGGAAAAGGAAAAATAAATAAATAAATAAATAAATAAAAATTAAAAATTTTGATATCATGCCTTGTACATCATAAATTTGAGAACCCTATGGGTTATATATGTTGAGCTCGAGAAGGTCTTAAATGAAATATGCATGTTGACATGAAAGATAGAAATTTAATAATATGGAGGTGGTGGTGATGGAGAAGATAATAGCTTCTTGTAGAAGTCATTCTTTGGCAAAGAGGGCACCTTGTATTCAACTTTAGGTACTGAGGTCACCTTGCGAACATATGACACCTTTTTATAGTTATCTTCTAGAATTGTTGGCTTCTTATAGTAGTCATTCTTTGGCAAAGATGGTACCTTGTATTCCGGTTTAGGCTCTGTGCATACCTCGGGAACATATGGCACCGTCTTGTATTTATCTTCTGGAGCTAATGTAATGACCCGTAAGTTCATATTAAGAATTAGCCCTTGCTTTCACAAAATACCCCTTTAAATAAATTTAAACAGAAATTTTTATTACTATATTTTAGTTAAAATTTTATAATTAATGAGATAATTTTTAAGTAATTAATTTAGTTTGGGCTTAATGGGTCAAACCCATGATTAAGTTAATATGTAAAGCACTAAATTAAATTAAAGAGAGATTATTATTATTTTACCCTAACACTAATTAGTTGCGGCTGGAAGAGCAATGATGGGTGATATTGAATTCATTACAAAGAATTTCACTAGTGTATAATATTCTATAGTTGCGGGTATTACAAATTATAACTGGTATACATTTATTTTTTGTGGTTGAACTTCTAGTACATTACCACATCACGATTCAAGTTTTATATATGTTGAGATAAGTAATTAAATATAAAGGGCATTGTATTATACAAGTATCATTAGATTTATGGAATTGGAGAATGAAAACTTAACCCTAGACTTGAAATTTGGAAATAGGAGGGTGACATTATAATTGACATCAAAATTTTGGAACTTGATTTTAGGTTTGTGTAAGTTTTTGGGCCTAGGCTAGATCTTTAGTAATATGGTTGTTGATAGTTTTAAAATTTTATTGTTATTAATTATTTGAATAGATGGCATTGATTGGAAGCCTAATGAAAGGAAAAGACTCAGGTTCCGGAGTGATTGTTCGACTCTTTGAGGCAAGAGGATTTCTAAACTCTTGTTAAGTGTATGAAATGTGTGTATGTCGATTGGTGATGGATTGACTTGTCCACATTGATTAATTCTAATGATGAAAAGAATGGGGATAACAAAAGGCAATGTGATTAATTGTTTATGTGTGTTGTGTTGAGAAAGGGTTAAAGGCTTGTTGAATCATGTTGATGTAACTTTATGTTTGTGTGGTTGTGAACTGTGCGATGTTATGAAAATGGTCATCTCCTCATTATATGTGTGAACTTGTCATCTACATTATTCTGACGCATTGGTTGTAGCAAGTGTTATGTGCATTGAGAAATAATGGGTACTTAAGAGGATGTACCATTTCGAGGGACGTATCGCACGCCACGATGGATACTATATTTCGAGGGACATATCGCGCGCCGCGATGGTTACTATTATCGAGGGTCGTGTCGTGCGCCGCGACAGATGCATGGACAGATATGTCCCCCATGGGTCCCGGACTGAGAGACAGCGGGTGTGTATCACTAGGTCAGACATGCATCATTATACTTGACATTGCATTCCATTGCATTGCACATACTTACCATTAGTGAACTTGATATCGTATTTCGTTGATCTTTTGATTGCCTTTCTGCGGAAGTTGTGATTGATCAATATTGAGCTTGTTATTGCGGATATGTAATTTGTTGAAGTATTTTTGTTGAGGATATGTAATTTGTTGAAGTGTTGTTTTTGAGGATATGTAATTTGTCTAAGTGTTGTTGTTGAGCTACGTGCTATGTAAATTGTGAGCTGTTAGGTTGGGTTGATTTTAATGTAGGTTGTATTTGTGGAGGTTCGGTTGGGGGTGGTAGGAGTACCCGTATTTCATCCCTTAGCTTGTGTTTAGAGGTTTACTTGCTGAGTACCGTGTGGTTTGGTACTCACCTCTTGCTTCTACAAATTTTTGTAAGTTATGAGCCTGGATTTTTGTTGTACTTGTCAGTCTCTTCTTTTCCGAGGCTTCATGGAGATTTGTGAGGTAGCTGTTTCTATTTCAGCAGACTTTCTTCTCCATAGTTATGATCTTGTTCTATTCTAGAAACAAGTTCATTTGAGACTTGAGTTTTTCTTTTGAATCAATTGTAATACTTTAATGGCTTGTACACGTGACTACCAGGTTTTGGGGATTTTATTAAGTTACTTATATTTTATTTCCGCGCTTTATTGTAATGATTGAGTTTTAGGCTGACTTGTCTTGGTGAGATAAGACGAGTGCCATCACGCCCATTTTTGGATCGTGACAAAATGGTATCAGAGCCCCAGGTTCATAGGTCTCACGTGTATACAAGTCGAGTCTAAGTAGAGTTTTGAGGATCGGTACGGAGACGTCTGTACTTATCTTCGAGAGGCTACAGTGACTTTTAGAAAAAATCTTCACTTCTTGGATCTCTATTGTGCGTACTTGGTCCCATTTTAATTTTTATCGCTTCACTTCATCGATTCTCATTTATGTGATGCCTCCTATGTAGTTCCTCTGGTGAGTAGTTGGTGTGTCGTGTATTGGTAAAATATTTCTTTTGGTATTAAAGTGGAAGTGATATACTTATGGAAAGGATTTGTGATTATATTTTGAATATTATAAAAAATAAATAAATAAAGGGGCTATGTAAGTTTAGTTATCCTAGTAAAATGATTAGTACTTGTGTGGTATATACGATATTTAGAGTGGTTAACAATTGGAAATGGGATGATTAAAGGGATGACTAGATAATTGAGTTGTAACTTTGGAAACTCTAATTAGTTAAGTTATCATAACATGAATAAAATTCTTAGAAAATGATGCACCAATTAAGGTTAGAATTTCTACTATAGTAGTATCGATGCTTACTTGGTTGGAGTTATGGAGTGTGCTACTTTTGATATTGACCTGAACTATGAAAGAACTCATATAGCTTGGGCTAGATATGGAACTATGATAATACTTAACATCTTTTTGATGGGTAGAAATGTGTGACCTGTTTGGATATGATCTTCTCGATAGGTATGATATGTTCTAGTGGTGGATTTAATAGTCTTCACAATGTGGTACTAGTGGTATATGAAAATGAATACGTTGATGTTAAGTGCAAATACTAACTACTTAAGAAGTTATATATTGTATTACATGCTCATATGATAAGATGTGGTGTTGAATTTATAATTGAGAAACCAACTAGGTTGTTAGTACGGATGGATATGTTAAGCATTATTTATAAGAAAACTTTTAGTGGTGGATCTTTGGTATGATATTGATATATTCAGGTTGTAAAATGTATTTTGTGGATTGTAAATAATTGTTGATTTCATCGTAAACTCCATGAAAGTGGACATATGGATGATAAGCTTATAAGTAAAGGAAGTCTCAAAAAGTATACTTGTGTGAAGGTAATTGAGAATTTTAGTAAGAAAGTGCATATAAATTATGATCTTCTCGATAGGTATGATATGTTCTAGTGGTGGATTTAATAGTCTTCACAATGTGGTACTAGTGGTATATGAAAATGAATACGTTGATGTTAAGTGCAAATACTAACTACTTAAGAAGTTATATATTGTATTACATTCTCATATGATAAGATGTGGTGTTGAATTTATAATTGAGAAACCAACTAGGTTGTTAGTACGGATGGATATGTTAAGCATTATTTATAAGAAAACTTTTAGTGGTGGATCTTTGGTATGATATTGATATATTCAGGTTGTAAAATGTATTTTGTGGATTGTAAATAATTGTTGATTTCATCGTAAACTCCATGAAAGTGGACATATGGATGATAAGCTTATAAGTAAAGGAAGTCTCAAAAAGTATACTTGTGTGAAGGTAATTGAGAATTTTAGTAAGAAAGTGCATATAAATTAAGTTAGTACCTTGGATGGTTGGCATAGCTAGGTTTGGATTGTCATGTTAATGGTGAGGCTAAATTCGTAGTGAGGGAAATGGCGAACTAAACATGATGATATAAGATTCTATGATGCATTATGATTGAAATGCAACTATATGATACGGGTGTTGGTTAAAACAATTTTTTATGGTAATGATGAATTTTTAGTATCTAAGGTTATGGTTGTTTCTATTCCATAAGTAGTGTGGTTTTATGGTAATTTTTATAAGGAGTGGGGATGTCATCGAATAAAATTGAAAGGAGCTAGAGCCATAACAGAAAGAATTAGAGGTATATAGTTTAACTTTCAGAGCGAGGATAAAACTAGGTTATTTTACTTTCTTTGCAAGGGTTAAGGATGTATCTTCAGAGGAATTTGGAGAATTGGGTTCAGATACAAATGATTTTACCTGTTTCTTCCAGATTACGATATAATATAGTGTCACAAGATCAATAGATTGATTAAAAAAATAAACTATTGGATAAAACTTGAGAAAGGAGTGTACGGACGTTCAGCTCGAGTATGATGATTAGTTCTTTTGTGGTTTTGTGTTTGTAAGGAGTATGATAAGATTTTTAGAAAAAGATATGGTAGGGCCAATGAAGAGGCGATCAATGATAAGCTAAAATACGTTAAGTAAATTTTATTTTTTTTGTATGAGCTAATGTTGTAAGATAATGGGATTGTGTTACATGGTTGGGATCAAAACTTCAAGTTTACATGGTGAGTTCAAATTTGTGATAGTGTATCTTGTCAAGGTATGAATTGGTAAGGTAAGGAATGATCGATCACATTGAGTATGAAACATTTAGAAGGACTTAAAATTTGAGTAGTACATTTGGTTACTTTTGATTGTTATACCTAAGGTTTCCCTTATTGTTGGCCAAAAAAATAAAATAAAATAAATATAAGACTGGTAAGTGAGTTAGCAAAAAGGAGAAAAAAAATTATGGTGTATTGAAGAGTTAAAGTTATTTGAAATTTCCGTCGTGGAAAGATTTTAAGAAAGGCAAAGGAACAATAACACCTCTCGTACAAACATTGGATTCGGAGGTGATGGTTGTAGTGATTTCACCTTTGAGTTTAGATATGACTATGAGATGTGAACTAGTTCGGCACCTACTTACTATGAGTTTATTATTAACTTTTCTAAATATTAAGTTTTGGTTGGGTTAGAATAAATGACGTATGGAACATTATACATGGTTATGTCGAGCTAGATTGTTCACAATGTGATTAAGTAACAAATGGATGTTAAATAGTGTAGACCTACAGTTTTACATGGTTGATGAGGATTGGAGGGAATTAAAAGTATTTTGTTGACGAGACAAAATAGATTGTTATAATGTGTTACATAGGCATTTTATGGTGAGTAGAGGTTATGAGATTATAGTATACATAAATATTGGAGTGATCAAGAATTTCTCTAAATTTTTATATAACGTATATGATGGTTCTAATGGTAATTGAACTTGATTGAAAAAAATAAAATAAAATCGTACAATTGATATTTGACGTGATTCAATAGTTTGAGCTCGATGGGAAGTACACTCAGATTTGCGTAAGACACTCATCTGTCATGAAATGACTACATAAAAAGAGGAGTCATAGTTTGAAATTTTTGAGACGACAATGTGTTTTCTAAGAAGACTTTTGATATTCATAGCGGATTGAGAGTGAAGAAACGAATAATATGGCTAGA